AAAATTAATATTTTTAATTTTTAATTTTTTTAAATATATCAAATTGATATAAAATGTACACCCTTAAATTACCTAAAAAAATTAATTTCAAAACAACAAAAACTTTTTCACCGACATTTAACAATAGATAAAAAAAAAACACCGCCCATCTTCCCCCTCTTTTTTTTTTTAAAACGCCAGCCACTGCCGATCTTGCTTAATTAATTATGTATAGATTATTCGTGTATTTTAAAATATTCAACTGCAATCAAACCTTATTCATGCTTGAACTTATTGTATGAAAAAAATTAATCAATTTAAAACTTTTCTTATACGCTTGATGTTCGAGTATAAGAAAAGTTTTTTTTTTTCTTTTATATATTGTAGAGGGGTATAAGGAAGGCTGAGCAGGTAAAATTAAGATTTTATTAAATCTTTAAAACCCTGGTAAACTTGAATTGGGCATTGCTTTCTCGACACAACTTTATCACCTTGCCACTAGGTAACAAACTGACATTGTTAATAAGGTGGTATTACAGGATAATTTTTTTTTATTTTTTTTGCACAATTTTTATATGTTATTAAATAAATTGATATATTTAATATTACAGGTCCCATATGAATTAAAATAATTAATTATTTTAATGACACGTCTGTAAATTTATAAAAAAATGAGATAAAATAATTATTTCAATAGTATTTTTCTTATTAATAAGACAGACAAATACATAAAATTTAGAAAAATATACATACTTTACTACCTTAGTTTGACAAAGCGTATGGATAGGGAAAAAAAATTATCAAGAGTCTTGGAAAAGCAAGTCGAGCGCGGTTCTTCGGCTTTCGTTTCTTTATCTGTATATATCCTACAAAGTACAAACTATATACAAATACAGGAGACGCGAAAAATTAGGATGATTGGTATTTTTTAATTAAAATTATTTATTACGTAGGATACAATTGAGGGTTCACTTGATAAATAATCTTTGATTGAATGTGATAACATTTTTTAATGTCAGAATGTTTT